GGTACACATCCACATTGATCGGCCAGTTAAGAGCCTAGATCTTAGTCCTATAGAAAATGTGTGGCACCTGACTAAAAATTTAGTATGTGATGAGACAATTTAATTATTTCAATTCATTAAATACAAATAGTAAAGGACTTATCCAATGAATGTTAAATTTTAATCCAAAAATTGACAGAATATTTAAAATAAGAGAAACGATATTAAAAAACTCAAATTGTAAATTAGCAAATCAGAAAATTAAAGAAAATCAAAGAAAAAACTTTAAATTTGTCAAAATTCAAATTAGTAGTATGGAAATAAACCAATCTCATCCAATAAAATTTCCTCCATGGTATGCGGAACATAGTCATCCAAAATATCATCATCAGGATCTGATGTATAATTACAATTGTAACATGATTTCGCCAGTTTTTCATTAGCTACAAGAAGTTGATAGAAATCTCTGTGTTCATTCTTAGTCAAATAGCATCCTGCACAATTTATATATTGTAAACTGTTTGCTGAAGGAATTAGTCCAGAAAAAATTTTTATTAAGCCATCCCCAATATCATCATTTTCGCTAACATCTATCTTTTCAATAAAACTACATTTGCTTAACATATTTTCTATGTATTCGCATTCTTCCAGAGTTAGGAAACATCCTGAAAATCCAATTTCTTTTAAAGTATTTGATGAGTGAAAAAGTCCATTACAAATATCTGATAATCCATCTTCCATACCATGATTCCAACCCAAGTCAATTTTTTCTATGTTAGAACATTTTTCCAACATTTTTCCCAAATGTTTACAAGCATTTCCATATATTTTGCAAGAATTCAAAAAAATTATTTTTAAAGTTTTTGACAAAGAACAAAGTCCATCAAAGATATCTAGTAATCCATCTTGCATATTTCTATTGCAAGATATATTTATTCTTTCAATTTTAGTGCACTTTTTCAACAATTCTCCAAAGTGTTTGCTATGCTCAACTGTTAGATTACACTCTTCAAAATTGATATCTTTTAGTGTATTGACTGATGTATAAAGACCAATAAAAATATTTGATAATCCATCTTGTAAATCAGGGTTAAAATTTAAATTTATTCTTTCAATTTTATAACTGTCTTTCAAAAAATTTCCAATTTTAATACCATGATTAACAGTTAAATTACATTTTTCGAAATCAATATGTGTTAAAGTGTTGAATGATTGAGATAGTTGAACAAAAATATTTGATAACGATTCTCCCATATCTCGATTAATATTTAAATTTATCTTTTCAATATTAGAACAGTTTTCTAACAGTTTTACCACCAAAATTCCTTCATCTTTTGTTAAAAAGCACAATCCAAAATTGACATCTTTTAATGAATTTGATAATGAGGATGGGAAAAGTCCATTTAGAATATTTGATAATCCATCTTTCGCATTCTTGTTCCCATTCAAATTTATTCTCTCAATTTTTGAACACTTTTTCAATAAAATTTCAATCTTTAGACATTGATCTTTTGTTAGATTACAACTTTTCAAATTGATATCTTTTAGAGTAGATTTTGATGTTAAAAGCCCATTAAAAATATTTGCTAATCCATCTTTCATATTATCATTATAACTGAAATTTATTCTCTCAATATTAGAACATTTACTGAGTAGACTTTCAACAATGAGACATTCATCTTTGCCCAGGTGACATCTTTTAAGTTTGATATCTTTAAGATTATTTCCTGAATGTAAAAGTCCATTGAAAATAGTCAAAAATCCATCTTTGTTTAAAGAACGCTTGTTAAAATGTATTTTTTGGATTGAAGAACATTTACTCAAGAATCTCCCAACATGTAGACATTGATTTTCATCAAGATGACTTTTATTAAAATTGATTTCTTTTACAGAATTAACCAATGGAAAACTGTTCAAACATTCATCTTTAACAGAACCTTTATTGTTATCATTTTGAAGTATTTCATCAGCAGAAAGAATTCTTGAAGAAGTTTGCTATGCAATGAACATCTACATGCAAAATGTATCATCAGTAAGTTTTGTAATTTATCTGTTCAATTGTAAATATACAATTATTTCCTTTCAGATTCCAGGCTGTCAGATCTGGGTTGTAGATTGGATGAGGTAATACTACCCACCCAGTTGTTCTAAGATATTGAGTAGTTTGTAGGCTAGTATGAGATCTGGCACTATCTTGTAATAAAATAATCTCTTTACTAGGCATGATTCTATTTATTCTTTGCTTTAATCTTTTTAGAAGTAAGTGATTTTTAAACGAAATTAAAGATTTCAATGAAGATTTAATGATAAAGTAAAGCTTCTCGAAATCCTCAAAAGCAAGTTTAGTTCAATTAGCAGTTCTAACCTTTCTATGGTTGAATAGTGACTTATCATATGCAGCACTTTTATGGCATATGTCAAGCATTTTTAGGAGAGAGATCAAGGAATATAAAATAAACAAAAAGTTCTTCCTATTCTGTCAATTTAGAAATTGGCATTATATCATGTTTTAAAAAAAAATAGTTTGTTTTTCATACCAGCTTATACATATTTCCATTCCTCTATCCTGTTTTTCATCTTTAAAGAACGTGATTAGACCCGCCTCCTTCTATTTCTTTTAGAACCCTTTTAGACTTTTATATTGATTTTCAATTCAGATTTTAACCCTGAAAATTGATTTCTTTGAAGATTTTGACAAGCCAAAGAGTCCATTACAAATATGTAACTATCTCTTCTCATATATTCATTTCTTCCTAAGTTATTTATTTCAATTTGAAAGAATAAATGAAGAGATCTCCAATATATTCTACATTACCTAAATTCTTAAATTAATTAAATGTCAATCTCAGAAATGCATTACTTTAAAAGTTATTTCAGAATTAGAATATCAAAGTCTTTTTTCTATTGTTAATAGTTTTTCAATAGAATAAGAAAAACAACTTTTTTTGTGTTTTTGCAAGTTACAATAGTACTGCCTCTACTCAAACCTTTAAACATATGTTTAATTTAAAAGCAAAAACCAAAAAACTGCAAAGATTTCACTAGCAAGAAAATTCATTTGTAAAGAGGGGAGCAAAGAAGACATTCATGGGGCAAATGAAAATGTATTATCCAACATACCAAAAAGTCACAGACGAAAATTTTTATCCATTTCACCCAAACAATATATAGAAAACTTCAGATATAAGACATTATCAAATAACACACTTTAACTATTACTTACAATAGATTTCTTTTAAAGTCTCTTGGCTACTCTGGAAAGTATATTGCGCGAGTAGAAAAATCATAACAGTCAACTCTGAATTGGAAAATGAAGTAGAAATAACAGCTGAACAATCAAATGCTGATGGTATCACTGAACATAATCATCTTAATAGTGGTTCAGATTATGATGAGAATGAAAAACAAAATGATGGAAATATCAGATAAGATATTGAGAATATTTGTGTTTTTGTTAAAAACAATTGTACAGAAGTAATGATTGTATTTGATATTGAAATAACAATGGAAAATCTTTCTCAGGATTCAACTAATTTAATGGAAACTTAGCGACCTCCTCCGCTACTTTAGCTCCTCACCTTTGTAGCTCTTTGTTTACACATTCTCTATTTCTTGGATTATGTATGTGATTTCAACTATCACACAATTAAATTCAATGTTTTCAAATTCTATAAATGACTCAGCCGAATTATGGAGAAAAACCAGCCATCATTCATTTTTACATATTTTTTTCCAACTGTCAGGAGAAACTTCCAGTCTCTCAAAACCCTAACAAACGCTTTATCAGCCGAAAATAACAAGTATTGATTATCCCATTCACTTGCAAATGCTTTCACAGGCAGTTGAAGATGTTTTGAAAATTAAAGTATCCCATTTTGAAAGATCATCTTGGTACCAAATCTGTATGCTGGAATGGAGGGGTAGGATAAGTACATGCATTGAGAAAGAAGGTCATCAAATACAAAGGTAGCAAAAATATTAGTCCCCAAACCATTGTCCGGAATAATGTGACTCACTGCCAAATAAAGAAAAAAGATCATGAAAATATACACTATATAAAAACGAAAAAAACGATATAAAAATTTATCTAAATACTATTTCATAGAAATATATGAAATAGGATATTAAGTGCAATAGAAAAAGACTTCCCTTCTACCTCTTCTTTGCTCCCTTGATATCATATTTAACTGTCCCATTTCCAGCAAATGGTCCAGCCAAGGAACTTTTGATTCTAATAGACTCTGACCCTTTAAGCAAGAGATTCTTACTGTATTCTCATCAAAGGAATAAGGTTCAGAAATCAAATTTGTAAGTTCAATGTAGTTAAGAGTCAGATTTCAATTCATAAAAAACAATCAGCTATTGAAATCTTTCCAGAATAAAAGCAAGGCAAAAGATTAATAAGAATTATAAAAAAAGATTCTACTTTATTTTTAAGTAAAGTACACCAAAGCTATTGAGAATTGACATAAAAAATTTCTTTTTAAAGGCTGTATTGGTCAAATTTCAATGAAGCAAAGCCAAAAAATACCAGTTTTCTAGACATTTGAAAAGATTCACGGCTGCATAGAAAATTTAAGGACAAAAGATAGAAGGTCTATTATTGACAGTTTTGACAGTAGTAGAGTTGTGTCTGATCAAAACAGTCCCTCTATCTGCTTAATGAAAGACATTTTAAATTGAGATTGAACAGTTATATAAGCACCTAGATAAGAATTGTACACGACTGTTAGAGGGCATAGTCCATAAGTGTACAAAAACTCTTATACAGTCGTAATATTAAGGTTAGGGTTGGGGTAAAGCCATACATTCACGGCCGTTTTCTACCGCATACTTAACAATAGCATTTTGCATGAGGTACATACAATGCTGCTGCACAACTTTGGCAGATATTTCAATATATTGAACAAATTGTATATTTGCCTTTTTCATAGAACAAAAAGTCTTAATCAATTGTCTTAGTTTTCTTTTGCATGAATTAATCATCAGTTTGATAATGATAATCAATCAGGAAAAGGTAAAAAAAAAACAAAAACAGTTTGATAGTTTGTTAGACGCGATCTCCTCGGATATAAAGAAAAAAGAAGAGAAAAGATGAAAAATCTTGCAGAGTTATCTGTTGCTAAGATTTTCAAATTGTGCATTCTTTTCTCTCTTTTTCGTCAACTTGACGCTGTTGTGTGTAGTCAACCGGAGGCAGAAAAAGTAGAATGTGGATTTCTGGGAATTGACTATGACAAATGTGTCAATCTTGGCTGCTGCTATGATTCTCTTTCACCAATTCCTTGTTTTCTTCCTGGAAGTAAATTTAGTTTTCTGTTAAATAACATAATTTTTAATTAACATAAATAAATCTTTTTGATAGGCAAAATTCAATTACATAAGAGTGCAAATACTCATATTTCTGATGAAAACATAACTCAGAAATATCAAATTTGTCAGTATAAATATCAACACACTGCTGTCAAAGTTCAAGGTTGAAATTAAATTATTTATTTTATAATTAGCTACATAAATCTCTCTCAAAATAGGAATACACATTTGGACACTCTACAAATATATACAAACTACAGAGTGCTTATCAACACAACAAGGATTCTCCATTCAAGAAGGCCCCAAATTTAATCTCTTCTGGGATTTTAATGATTTAACTCAACTGGTTATGATGTCGCCATGTAAAGTTTCTATTATTTTTATCTATACTTTAAAATAAAATAAAAGTTTTTTTAGTAATTCCAGAAAAAGGTGAGAATATGGGAGGTGAATCTCATATGATGATTGATAGTATTTGTGATTTGGGAGGACTAACAGTTCCGAAAAGATATGAAACCTGTTCAAATTTAACGTCTACAAATTTTGAACAAAAGTTTTTATATCAGATCTATGAACCATCAAGTTCTAAAGTAAAAGTAGAAGTTCGAGGAGAAAATTTTGCATGTTCAACTTCAGATAACAAACCTTTTGTAATAGTTTACTCAAAGGCCTATGATCAATATTTTAAAGCCAATGATTTATGGAGTGGAGAATTTATCTCATGCTCACTGATAGATTCGAATGAAAAATGCTCTTACGAATGCTTCTGTCAGCAATCTATATGTAAAATGATCTATTTAAAATGGATGATCAATTATGATAAAGAATTATTTCCATTATCTAATGTTACTGTTTGTGACATAAATGTTGTGGCTCTTTAAAATATAGAATAATAGTTGCATCTTATCCCAAAAAATTTTGTATATCTTTCATAAACTAACACATAGACAAGCAGCAAAAAAATTTTAAAATCTCTTTCTCTCTCTCTCTCTCTCTCTCTCTTGCACGGAAAACAAATCCTAAAAAAAGAATCTCTTGACATTCAATATCAATTTTAACACAATGACAAGTGTGACAATTGGTCCCTTCATTCTCTATGTATGCCTGTCATTTGATTGGAAGTAAGTTGACATCATTGTGATAAAAGGAGGATGGTTTTCTCCTCAGAAAATCTATAAGGTTTTTTTCAATTCTTCCAAATTTTCATAGTGGTCCATCAATCTCACGACAAGATAATAGTCAGAGAAGGCAAAATTAGATCTGTATGGTGGACGAGGGCACAATGATCGTCCTTGATCTCTTATAAAGTCTGTTATATAGCATTATCACGTTGTAATGTTATCTGTTTTTCAGGTCTGATTCTATATAGTCTCTTTCTTAGCCTCTTTAGGGTCAGTTGCTTGTCAGTTCTGATCTGTTACAACTGTCTTTCGACAACCAAATCTTGGCAAGTCTTAAAATTTTTGCTTCTTTTTTTATGTCAGATACCCACCTTCTTATGTAACATTCACTCAGATTTTCATCCCCGAAATAGCTTTTTAACTGTGTATAAATTATCCTTGGAGAGACTTTCTCACACACTAAAAATGCAATGAATTTTCATTGATTGGAAAGTGTAGACATGACTTGTAGTTGCTTATTACAAAACAAATTTAAAATGGCTTGACAGAATTGAAAGAAAGTTTATACAGTGAAAGTTTACTGTTTATGGAGAATAAATAAATATCAGTGAACTGAAAGAGGTTTAAACTTCTGGCATTGTTTTCTTGGAAATGTCAACATTACTTTAATAATAACCTTTATGCTAAATTTCACGAGTGGTCTTTGTATGTTAAATGATAAGAAATTTTGTGATTTTATGATTGTTTATCATTGTTCATTAACTAAGTTTACACATTGTTAATTCAATGCTGAAATTATTTCAGTTTTCAAATCTATATTTATAACTTATTTTATCAATACACAAGGAAAATCTTGCCTATAAATTAAAAAATACTAATTATAAACTAAAAGATCATTGTTTCTACAAACTTCAGAAGTAAAATGTAGATTGAGAATAAAAATAAACAAAGATTATTGGATTATTGATGTTCAGTATTGGAATTCATTTCGATAATCTCCAAAATAAAGAACGCTTACATTCAAAGTGTGAGAATCAGCTGGATAAGTCCTATCTACCCACCCTTGAATACATTTGAACTCAATCAAAAATTGATACCATTACTAACATTCATTGTTAAAAAACAATTCACTTTTAACTATCAAATATGGTTGCCACTAATCAATAAAGATTAATACATCTTTAACATTAATAAAGGCTTAAGACTATGTAAAACATTCTACAAGGGAATAAGAAAAATATGATTTATTTAATTTAAAGAATAATTGATTGTATATTTAAAAAATGCAATAAAATCAGTTTTAGACAAATTTTTCAATTATTTTGTGTACAAAATCTCCAAATGAAAATATATCATTGTTTCTACCAGCATCAGAATTTGTTTAACTCATATCTAGGAACACGCAACATCAAAGAGTTTTTTTGAAAGCAATTATAAAATTTGGTCACTGAAAAAAACATTTGATTAAATAATTTATAATCAAGAGACATAAAACATGCATTCAAATTCTCTTTTATCAACAGCAGCTTTCAAAACTGATAATCTGGAAAGCAAAATGTTCAAGCAATAACACAGAAAATTCCTATAAACTATACCTTTTCAATCTTCTTTTCTCCTTTTTCATTTCAAAAATTTCTCTGATGTCATTTAATGAATAAAATATTGGATTTAAAACAGAGTTTATAGGTATAAATACAACAATAATGAATGAGAAAACATCATTGTTAAAGTGAATTTTGAAGATTGTAGATAAAACACCTTGAAAAGACAGGGTTAGGGTTACCCTGTAGAGTTTAGTTTTATGGAATTGTAGGAATCTTACTGAGTGCCGAAGTGGGAAACCAACAAATACAGTTAATGGATACAATGAAAAATGATGTTTTCACTGAGTGAAAAACTGCAGTCTGTTTACTTTTTGTTTTCTTGAACGACATTGATTTAACTATGCGAAGAATGATGTTTAAATACAATACGAATATTACAAAAGTGATGAAAAGCGGTATAACTCCAAATATGATTACTTTCATTTCCCATCCTTCACTCATTTCACTGAATATTGCTGTAGTGAACTAGAAAAAAATGACATTCAATCATTTGGTGCAATAGTAAAGAAAATTTTACAAAAAAGATATTTACTATCGAAAAAAATAGGAAATAAAGATAAAAATATTGATGAATATACAGAATTTTATCCAAAATGGTTGAATTGATTGTGTTTAGTATCTATCTCATTTTCATTTGTTCATATTTTATTTCTAATTAATGCAAATTTCAAATTTAGTCTATTTCACTGTTCTAGTTAATTTTTAAAACAAACGTGTGTGTCATTAATACGTATATTTCACACTATAGGTTCTGACAGAACTGTAAGCATGTTGTAAGGTTTGCACTAGAAATTAAAAAAATATAGAATAAATACCAAAATTCATCTTCAATGACATTGTATATATCATTTGGTAATATTTTTTGATAAACCTACTTGACCTACATATTGTCCTATTTTATTATTTAAGTCTATTTTTTCTATTTTTAGTTTCTCTTCCGAAATCTGTTCTTCTTTCAACAATGGGATACATTTACTCCAAAAACTTTGTCATCTTATTGAATTTGAGAATTATCAGAAAAGCTTTGTGAGCAGGCAGTTCTTAAGATGGATTAAGAATAAAAATGACAAAGCCAATGATCAATTTGTAAACTTTAAGAATGACAGTTGTTAGTGTTCATTTTGACATTTATAGTCTAATTTGAGTTTTCTCGACAAACCTACTTACTAAAAACCTACGCAAGAGGATACAATGGGAATTGACCAAACATAGACCTTGCTTGGTTATACCTGAGGTTCGTCTTCAAATGCCATTTAAGGTTTTGCTAAAGTATGATTGATTGACTTGTCTATTTTTTCTTGGACTGCTTCCCAAAATCCCTTGGGACTCTTGAAATGTGAGAATATGGTTTCCCTTTTTTGATCTGACAAAGGTTGGCAATAGTAAAACTGTTACATCCTTAACAAATATCTAAACACAAATCATAATGAGGTTAATACTGCTCAATACTTTTTCAATACTACTATTCCATAGCAGAATAAATGATATAAATGTATTGTGTACAGTTTTGAAGAGTAGTCAGCCTGTCTTTATAACTAATTTAAAATAACTCTGATGGTACTGATTTCGATTTCAAATTTATTTTCAAAATTCCAAAAACAAATTGGTTTCAGTAAGAGGTTTACTAACAATTGTTATTTTAATCTAATCAAGAATTATTTGCTTTCTAGGCAAGTAGACATACATTGCCTCTGAGCATAGGCATAGCCTACCAAATACCTGCAGTTATTTCAACAATCCAGTGTCTGTAAACAAAGTATAAATAGCATGATATTTATTTTAGCTATAGTAATAATTTTAAAATAGAAAAATCTATTTATAACGGAAACTACAAATATTATAATTTCAAAAATCATAAATGAATAGACTAATGCAATATTTGATTCACTTCTACTATGAAGTTTGAAACAGATAGGAGAATAATTGAAATAATGCTGGAAAATTAAAAAAGCTCATTAAATTCAACACTATTTTGAATATTTTGGAAGACAGTGTTTACTTTAAAGAAATAGACTGGAAAAAATCTAAAGAAAATACTTAAAATCATAACAAGAAATGATAAAGAATTAATAATCTTTCCAGAAAATATATGTTTCATTGGGCAAACAATTGCAAAATATATTTGATAGCTAATAAGGAAAAGACTTCCGGTTAGTAATGAAAAGTTCATTATAATTCCAATAAATTTACACAATCTCCCAGAAGTTCATATGTCCTGCTGTTCAAAAAAGTTACCTTTAAAATATGTATGTGCTGATGCAATTGCAATTAAATAGTTAGCTGTCAGAAGGTCAGAGAATGACATTAGAATATAAAATGTATTGTTTTGCTTCTTTATTGCTATAAAATAAAAGATTAATGAAATAACGTTGAGTGATGTTCCAATTAAACCAAAAAACCATAGAAATAGGCTTAAATATTTTGATGCTATCAAATCAGAGCATGGATTAAAAATTGTAGGTAATGGTTCACAAAATTTCAATGTTTATTGTACTTTGTTGTATTGTAATTGTAGGAATTTTTGCTTCTTCAGAACAGTATTCGTCCTTTCCAATCGTTTATCAACTTACCAAAGTACTCACACCACATAAAACCTTTCAAGATTGCCATGTTTCCAATAGACATTGCCCCATGCTAATAAGTCTATTTTCATTGTTAATTTAATTATATAGAAAACTTTCATAACTCTTTTCAATAAACAATACATGATTCATTACAAAACTTTCCATTTCCAATCTTTACAAATTCACCTGCAGCCTTTTTCAACTTGTCCCTCCAGCAGTTCACAAAACTGCCATATTCATGTTAGTTTACCCTGTTCTTCATTTAGATTATAAACACTGACATCAAGTTCTTTCAGTTTGTTTGAAGATGATTCCATTCCCTCAAATATATCGACAAATGATTTACCAATAGTTCTGTTACATGACAAGTTGATTTGGAGTATATCTGAACATTTTTTAAGCAATTTTCCCAAAGAATTACCCTGTTTTTCATGTAGATTACAATCACTGACATAAATATGTTCCACTGTATTTGAGGATGATTCCAAACCCTCACATATTTCTTGACTTAATATACGATTTGAAGAAAAACATATAACGAGAGATAGCATAGCTTGTTGTGGTTGCTTTCAGTAGCATGCATTGTCCATTAGTGGCACTATATCTAGTAGCTTTGCATTGACCATAATAATAACAAGCTCTTCGGCATTGGGTTGTAGTAAAGGAATTGTATGTTCTTAGAGCAGTCCCATGCAAAGCAGTGTTTCGATAAGTTGTAAAATATTCAACTGAAAATAAATACAATTTTAAAAATCTTCACAACTAGAAGCCAGTGTGAAAAATACCTCGAATTTTTGAATTTGTATATCTGATCAATAAAGCAATCCTTAATTATATATTACTCAACGTTCAATAAATTAATCTTACATTATAGACATGGATACAGCATTTCAACAACATTGGTCACTAGTTGTTGAAGTGAACAAGTAGCATCTCATACTATACTTTACAGTGAATCCCTTACAAACCAATGATGGCCAGCAAGAGGCTCTGCAACTTTCAAAACTCTTCTAGTCAACACTTATTACTATTCTTTAGATTTTAACTCATTCATTTTTCATAAAATTTTCATCCTTCTTTCTTTAACAATTTGGTATTTTTTTGACAGAAAATGAATACTTGAATTTAACAGATAAACACAAATGTCTTTCTTTTCATCATTCATTGGCAGAGTCAAACCTTCCTATCTATGGATTTGGCCTAGTGATGAACATTGGCAAACTCAAGTGCTAATTTAGGGGTTTTTTTAACGGCAACTAGATATTGAAATCCGAGTCGTAAGAAAGACTAAAATGTAAAGGTATGAAGTTGCTGCATGAGCTTGATAAGACAGTAATATGAGGGTTCACAAAGACTGAACAAAAGATTTAAGCTGACTGCATGTTAGGTGGTTTTTATTAAACCTTTTGTTAATTTTATTTATCAGTATAATATTCACAAGTAGGCTTAACCTTTGAATTATCCATCATTAAGCAAATAAAACACATCTGTGAATTTTGCATGTTGCAAAGAATAAATTCCGAATAGCTAACTGTCAATTGTATAGAGAAATAAACATTAGTCTTTCTTTAACTATCTATGAACATTAATTTAGCTAAAGAGCTAAACCTAAAGAGTGTCAAAAGTTCACAATTGACAATTGTTGACTTTTGGACAGGTTCCAACTTCTCTATTTAATGGTTGAATTGAATGTTACCATAATTGTTACATCTTACAAAAAAGCTGGCCACCTAAATTTATCTGATCTAATTACTCAGGATGAATGAAACCAATTGAAGGCAGGACCATTCTTAGAACTTTCAATTGTGCTAAAATGCTACTTTCCATTGTTGAAACTTTGAAATTGTGATTTGTTCAACTCTTAGGAAAGTATATAAACCCTTAGAATTTAACAGTTGTTGGCTTAATTTTCTAACTGCTTCCTTAAAGATAATTTTCAAAGTGAAATAGAAATCAAGGGGAAAAATTTACAAAAGCGTATCAATAATCAAAAATGTATTGTACTATTTGGATTGTTGGCTGATAGACCATCAATGAAGTCCATTGTTTAATGAATTGTTTTCAGGTTGCCAATTTAGTAGGTGGAAATGATGATACATTTTGCCACTAGAGTATCAGCTGTGAAATTGACCACTGTCAAGCAGTTCACATAAAAGTATTTGGGTCAACCAAGATTGCTACTAGTAATATTTGAAAAGCTACAAATTCCTTTCTCTTTCTGACAGAACAATATAAAAAATAAATGAATGAATAATTGCCATTACACTAAGGAATATATTTTGTAAATGACATCAAGGAATTTGTCACAAGATTAAGAGAAAATAAAATTTGTGCCAACTCTATCTAAATTCCAATTAGTCATTAATTTACATAAAACAATTTGATCATATTTCTCATTGCACTTGTATGCCCAAATTCAAATATAAGATGACCAAATTCCTTTGAAATGTGTATTAATTTTCTCCAATCATTATCAATCAGAGTTTCAACTATGCTGAATATCACTTTGCTTGATCTTTTTTCTGGCTGGTAGACAAAGCCCATTTTGTCATTAAAGGCCTCTACACTGGAAGTTTCTACAAGAGCTGTGGCCACATTTTTAAAATGATAGGAATCAGAAAATCTGTAATGGAATTGGTATCTATAATTGTATTTTATGTTTAATTCCATAGTCCAATATGGTCCAAATGATGCTGTTATATTTCTCAAATCATTTTCAACAAAAGCTATTATATCGTCCGTCTTTTCTCCATTGGCTTTCATTTTACGAATTTGTTCATATCCTTCTAAAACAGATTTCCAAATTTCTAGAAATCTAGTGAAATCATTATCTTTGTTTCCTTTACTGATTTTAATAATGTTATTAGCAATTGTTCCATAGTAGAATGTGTCCAAAGTGCCAATATAACCGAAATAATTATCATAGAAGTCTTCTTCAGAAGATTCTAGCAAGATACATAAATATTCTGAAATCCATTTAGCTAAGTGTTCAGGAGAAATACTCCAATTCACTAGCTTTCTCATTATAGGAAGTACAGTGTTGGAGAGCATATTTTTATTCCTTTTCCAAAATTCCAGTACTTTTCCAATAAATTTATGTTTGCTTACATCACACTTTTTAACTGGAGTTTTTATGTAGTTCATTACACCGATTTCATCAAGATCCTTGTAGATTGCCAAGAGATCTTTAAATAGTTTAAGAGTTTCTTTCATATTAATAGACGCCCTGGCGTCCAGTATAAAATGTCTACATTTTTTAATTAACTGTTTTGATTCAGGATACTCTGACAGACCTACACTTGTGATGAAATGCTCATCACTTTCAACTCCTGAAAATATGGAAGATGGTTGATTATTCTTTTGTTTTTAAATATGGATAAATAAAAGCCTAACCTCTAAACGAATTTGCCAATTTGTTGTTCATTAATTTTGTCATTTTGAAATTATAAATACCAAACTGGAAAAAAGGATCAACATATCTTAACCAGTTTTCACCATAAGTATTTAATAAATCATCTAAGAATAGTCTAATTTCAGTTGATTCAATTTTTATAGGCCATTCCAAAAGAACATTTGTTCTCTTTACAAACAAAATTAGTTTTTCACTAATTTCCATAGTTTTTGAATAGAAACTGGTAGAGTGAATATATGGAGTAATTAACATTTCATAATATTCAATTAACAATCTTGAGGTTCTTATAAACATTGCCAATCTATTATTAAATTGTGATTTTACTTTAGATTTCAAAATATTGCAGGCACTTATCTTGAATCGTAAAGAATCTGACAAGATATCATTAAAAAATAAATAAGTAGATGGAGAGATTTCTCTCTTGAGTAACTTATGGTTTTCATGAAAAACCACAATAAATTTATTCAGAATTTCTTCATGGATGCATTCAGGAAGATTGAATATACCATTCAAATAAAAATATTTAATTATTTCAAATCCTTTTTTATAAGATTCCATCAATTTGTTAACTTCATCTTCTGATTGGTGTAATATTAAATTATGAGCATTAATAAGAATGGATTGCTTGTATAAATAATTATTATCAGAGTTGGTGGTGTTAAAATATTGAGCTGAATGGATAAAGGGATATGAAAACAATTAAATTTTGATATAATTATACCTGCTAGAGATTCAATAGCTCCTTTTGAATTGTCTTGCCATCTCCATGCAATTTTGACTCTTAGAAAATGATCAAATAATCTGTTATAATCGTTGTCATTCCACCATTGGTGACCATATTTCAAAGACATATGCTTTATTAAAGCATTAAATTTCTTTATATATTCTAATTTTGTCAACACATTTTTATTAACAATATTTTGTCGAATATATCTTAACATTTCTTTCAACATTTCAAATCCTTCTTCAAATTTTCCATCCTCCAGATAAGGTTTTAAATATTGGTATTCGTGTTTGATTGCGTAGGAGATTCTCTCACCAGGTATATTTGCATTTATAATTTTACTCAATTTTTGACTTAATTCTGTCATTGTTTCAGCATTTAGAATTATACAGATAGCTTTTGTAAGTCTATCATGATCTTTAAGTATTTGAAATTGGGGATTATTAGATAACTCCTCAAGTGTTCTTTCATAATTTTTTTTAGGCATGATATCAGGCAGATCATACTTAATCCAATTCATAGTTCGAGTTGCAGCATTTGAACATACTGTTGTTGAAATATCTGAACAAAGAAAAACAACGGGAAATTATAATATGAATAAAAGGTTTACTTAGTGTACACTTATGAACTATAGTTTATAGATATTTTATAAATGATACTATATGGTAGAAGTGTTGAAGTAGATGTTGAATCTAGGGTAGATGGTACCGAACTGCCAGAATCAACCCCTTTTATAGGTAAAGGATAAGATGTTACATAACAAACATGTTGACAACAACAACAAGTGTTTATTTACATAAATATGATGTAAGAATTGACCCTTGACCGGTAACCTACACAAAGTTGTTGTTTACATCACTATTGCATAATATGATAACCCTTGACCCTGTTTGTTGTGAACAATCCTTATTTGGGGTTAGACCCTTGTTGTTGACAGCCAAGGCATAAACAACTGATAAGGAATTGTATAACAGGAGGGCGTGGGCAGTAACAGGTACTCAGTCCTGAATCAACTCCCTTAGTGAACAGGTCTAGTATTACTTTAGAATACAGTTATATTATTCTTATGGTCTATATTCAGCCGTCATCAATTCTATATCTCTCTTCTAAGTGGCTTACTCCTGGTTCGGTTCTATTTGGACCAGTACTTACCTACCTCAGCAGGAAAGTACACTTAGTGTTAACTATAATACAAACGTTTTGATGTTACTTGAAGAAGAGAAAGAGAAAGAAAACTGATAAAACAGACCAATCTCATTTTTGCTGTATGCTCAACAAATGTTCAATTGAATAGTCAATATATAGGATGTATGTATATTATAAAATCATAGATATTACTCTGTTTAAAATGATTATTTCATTTCATATCAAAGGATATTTTTTTAGTTAATACTTCAATTTTTATAAATTATTAATGGCTGGAAAATGAGGACAAACTAATTGTTTTCATTTAGCACTCTAGAGATAAAGGTCTAATATTTTCATATTATATTTAATAATACTTAAATATACAATTATTTATCTTTCAACAATTACAGTTTTCCATATTATAATATCATTGGAAATTGCAGATAATGAGAATTGAATCTAGTTCAAGGACATCAACTATAGTATAGAAGATTAATTTTATCTGCTCAACTTTATTTAACTTATGACCTGGACAAATTTGTCACAATAGCAGTAGAATTTACCCTTTATCAACACTTTTTCTTCATTGATGTGCATTTAGATATAGTGATATATCAATATCAAGACTTTAGATATAAGGGTACATTAGAAAGACTTATATTTTATAGGAATTAGACTGGTGCAACTATAGTAATACTTATATTTTGTAGGAATTATAGTGGTGGAACTTTAGGAAGACTTTTATTTCGTAGAGTTAGCTTTTAGTACTTTAGAAAAGAACTCTATTTCGTAAGAAATAGACTCTTTGACTGTAACAGATGGTGGCTACTTAGGAATTAACAAAGGAACAAAGAACATGGAAAAGATGCAGGTCAAACACCAGATGCTGATGAGGCAGGCCTGTTTGCAGTGGGACATGTTTGGCATGTGGCCCTAATCTTAGGATTATATTTTATATGTGTGATATAACAAGTCTTTCTTTATATTTTTGATACATGAGAATTATGAGACTGTCAGATTTCAACTTTGTAATCCTTTGACCACTTGAGCCCAAGCTTTGGAAATGTATAAAAGGAAATGCATTTCCCCAGCTTGTCAGTTCAGTTCTTTAACTATTAACTGGTTGTTTAAACTTACTTGTTTAGAACTAGAAACTCATTTACTCAATACATATTCTTTAAACGAAATACTGGCATTTTGTTGATTAATTTCTACTGAAACTACATTTCTTACGACTACTTGTGGACGAATTTTGAAGGTTCTATTTGTGTGAGTACTTTGGTGCATTGATAAATGATTGGAAAGGACGAATACTGTTCTGAAGAAGCAGAAATTCCTACAATTACAATACAACAAAGTACAATTGAAATTTGGGTAAATGATTGCCAGATACGATACATTCAATTCATTTATGAACATATAAAAAAGTGGGTTGAATATACTCATATCCATCTTATCTTCATTTACATTTCTCATACATTCTATAGTCATTTATAATGTTACCTCTTTCAATTTCATTTATTACCTTTTCACCATCAGTTATTTTGTAGAATTGTTCTGTAATGTCTCTCTATCTCTTCTATTTCCTGATCTTTTGGTCTTGTCATTCGAAGGAGACACTATCTTTTTTCACAGTTCACACAACAGACATCCATTAATCTGAAAGGAAATAATTGTATGTTTACAATTGATCAGGTGAATTACAATTCTCACAGATGGTACATTTCTGATTACATAAGAAACAAAAATTTCTCTTCTGTGTTCCCAGAACTGTGTGTTTGCAATTTTTACATTTTACTTTAACTTTGCCACAATGACTACAAAACAAACAAGCTACATTACAAAACAAGCCACAACCCATTAAATCCCATAAAAACCCAAACAATAAAGATAATACATATGTGTACTATTCTGAAAGGGGATGCAGATTTCTCACAATACCTGCAAAGTGATGGCAATCAGAAATCAACAGTCACCTTTTTGAACCAAAACTGGAAATTTGTCAGGTTAGCTGACTTACTCCACCATTGAATAAAGAAAGATATTGAATATCAGCACTTGAAAATATAGCAGGCAATCAGTTCACTGGAACGGAATCAACTAAGATAAGATAACATGGTAACTGTTGCAGAGAAAAATGTCATTGTACCTAATCTAACTGGAACTAAACAGTTTTTTTCATAATTTGTACTAGGAACCTGGGAAAATGCAAAACATTTCTTTGAGCATCATAGTGTCAACAATTTGTATTATAGTTTTCTTGCAAACATCTTTTAACAAAAACAGTTTTCGATATTATATTGTACTTTTTTGTATTGAAATTGTGCACTTAGAAACATCAACATAATAATATTTAGACTTAGATACTATATAACTTTAGAAAGGCTTTTATTTCGTAGGAAACATATTCTTTGACCAAAACAGATGTTGCATTATAGAATTAACAATGGAACAAACAATATAGAAAAAATGCATGTCAAACTTGTTACATCTTATTCAAAAACAGATGCCAAAGAGGCAGGCTTGTTTTTGCAGTGACACATGTTAGCCAGGGGGCCAACAGAAAACGTCCCCAAGTGAGATTTTTGAAAGCAACATTTCGGATTGAAAAATGGTTAGGGTGAGTGAAGTACCCATTGATTTGTAGTTAGGGGGGTTCCTTCTAAGGGTCAGGGGTAATCAAAAAGGTTAGGGAGTGACAAGGGCTAGGTTAGGGTTAGGGTTAAATCATGCATTTGGGGACGTTTTCTGTCGTAACCGTTAGCCAGAAGTGATGCAAAAGTTTTTCATGTCTTTGTTATATGTGCATTGTGAGACTGTTACATTTCAACTTCTAATCTTTTGACCAAGTGAACCCAAGCTTTGGTAAATGTATAAAAGGAAATATATTTCCCCAGTTTGGCAGTTCAGTTCTTAACGGGTTAACTGGTTGTTTAAACTTGCTAATTTAGAATACTGTTCAGAAGAAGCAGAAATTCCTACAATAACAATACAACAAAGTACAGAAATTGTAGGAGTTTCTGGTTTATCACTGTAATCGTCATTTCCAATTATTTATTAATTTACCAAAGTACTCACACAAATAGAACCTTCAAAATTCGTCCACAAATAGTCTAACAAATGTAATTTCGGTAGAAATGAATCCACAAAATGGCAGTATTTCGTCCAAAGAATATGTATTGAGTAACATAAGCTTCTTGTTCTAAACAAGCTAGTTTAAACAACCAGCTGACGGTTAGAGAACTAAATGATCAACTGTTAATTTTGTAGGGTTTATATACTCTTTTAAAGGTCGATAGTTCACAAATTTCAATTTTCACAAAAACAAAAGTAACATTTGAAGACAAAGAAAAGTTCTAAATATGGTCATGTTCTTATTTTTTTTATCTTCTAAATAATGGTTGAATTTCGAAGGTTAAGGAGAATAACATGAATAGTGAATATAATCTAAACTTGGAATTTAAGCATAATTGATATTTAATTGAACTGCTTTTAGTTCAAAATCATAACTTTATTGATCAATATATTGTAATAATAATGCTAGGTTGCAAATAGCAATATTCTTTTAATTTAATAGGTTTTATTGCCATGCATTGTATATGCTCCACCCTACACAAAACTAGGTCAATACTGCTTATCTCTATCAGTGCTATCTGCATATACCAATACTGGTTCAATACTACTTATCTATTGTAGGGTTTAGCTGATGAATGTATGTGTACATACTATTAAATTAAAAACAAAAACAACAACTGTATGGACTTGTTCTGTCAGAAGTAAAAAAGAAAATGTAAAGCAAGCATCAATCAAAAAGGAAGCAATTTTCCAATTAGGACAAACATTCATTGTCATTCATCAATAAAATCTTAGAAACCAGGATTCTTATCAGAAATGAAATCAAAGACAATTATTCAAATGATAGAAATTCTTCAGGCAAAAGAATTGCTGAAAATGTTCTGGTCAAATATTCTAGTGCTTCAAACTTACCAAAAATAATTAATTGTAAGGAAGTGGTAAATTGGAAAAGAAGGAAGAACAGGCCTATTGCCCCCAATGATAAAAACTTTGAGCTGAATATGACATTCATTCCTTCTGAATTCCTAAAAACGGATATAAATATGAATAATGAGAGGATCATTATCTTTGCAACAAATCATCAATTGGAGTTATTGTCAAAGGGGAAAATTTGATACCTTGATTGTATTTTCAACACTGCCAGTGAACCTTTCATTCAAATGTACTCTATTCATGCATTTTTTAAAAAAAATGGACAGCTTAAGCAAGTTCCATTGCTTTTTTCTTTTCTGTCTTCTAAAAACAAGAGAGCATATGAACTACTTTTCCAGGTAAGAATTACATTTCATAAATATATTAACTAATAAGTAATCATGTTAAATTTTTAAGGCTGTGAAGGATTTAGCTGAAGCTTGTTCTCCCAAGAAAATAGTCTTAGACTATGAAAAGGCTGTTTGGAAAACTTTACAAAATATATGGCCTGATGCTATCTTGACTGGATGTTTATTTCACTGGTCTCAGGCAATATTTAGAAAAATTCAGGTTTATTAATTTCTAAAATTTTTAATAATCAAATTAATATTTGTTTTGTTTAAGGAACTTGTTATAGCAGGGAATTTAGAAAAAAAGAGGGAGCTTGGGAATCCATGAGAATGATTATGTCTCTGCCATATTTGCATCATTGTATGATTGAAAATCAATTCACTAAAATTCAAAATCAACTGACAAAAGAAAATAAACTGTGTGATTTGTTGGACTAATACTTGGATAAAAACTACATTTTGGTCTCCAGAGACTTGGTCTGTTTTTTATCGAAGCATTAGAACAAATAGTGATCTTGAAGGTTATCATCAAAAGCTCAATAAAATTGTTGGAGAAAATGTTTCTTTTTATTTAGTGATTGATGAGTTAAAGAGGGAGGCAGACCTGATAAATCTGTACAAAAAGCTTTTAAGTGAGAGAAAGATAATTAGACTTCAAAGGAAGATTTATACCCAAATTCAAAAAGATCTTTTCTTAATTTGGGAAAATTTTAAAAAAGGTGAAATTAATGCAAAACAACTTCTGGAGCTCTGCTCAGAATTATATTATTAAAAATAGTTGACAATAACTTGATTTCAAAAAACTTTACTTGAAAACACTGCTCATTTATTGTAAAACTTGAAAAAATTTTGTCTTTGTTTTGAAGACTTCATAATAAAATTTTTAACCGAACACCAGTAATTTTACCAAACATGATATGTATAAAGTGTTTTCAGCTTCTATCTCTAAGCAAGTGGTAAGAAAACTAAATTACTAATGAGATGTTAGCTTTTTTCTCAAATTTTGATAGACCAAATTATTATCATTCCATCCCTAAACAACTATATTCAGATTGTGTATTGGAAGTTGAACAGAGGCCAATTTTAGCAACTAGTCATTTCGTGCAAAAAATCTCACACAGTCCAAATAATAACAATAGTCTCACTTTCAACAAAAAATTCATTAGAAATGTGACAGTTACATAATTCACACATAACAAAGATATGAATAACTGTTATATCATACATATAAAATATCATCTTTAGATTAAGGTATTGAATAAGATGCAAGAACTTTGGCATGCATCTTTTCTATGTTCTTTGTTCGTTTATGCATATTTGCTGAGTTTAATTTTGAAATCCTTTTCTTTAATCATTTCCATTAATTTAAAACATTGAGATAAATAGTGTTTAACATGGGTTATGGAATGAACATCCTATGATGAATGTCCCATGGAAAGAATGTCCTATTTTTAAAAGAATACACCTATTTGAAAGAAATATTCAATATTTAAAAAATGTATTATATATTTTGAAAGATATTTATACTTTTCAATGATGTAATGACTAATCATTGTATACACCCAAGAAAACTGGTATACTCCATTTTGGAAAATTTTACTTCAGTAAAAATATTTTGAAATTTCTCTAAATTAAAAAAGACAGGATTATTTCATTTGAAAAAGAGATAAGGTGTACTTTCCTGCTGAGGTAGGTAAGTACTGGTCCAAATAGAACTGAACCAGGAGTAAGCCACTTAGAAGAGAGATGTAGAATTGAGGGAGGATGAATATAGAACCAAAACGTAAGAATAATATAACTGTATTCTAAAGTAATACTAGACCTGTTCACTAAGGGAGTTGATTCAGGACTGAATGCCTGTTACTACCTACGCCCTGCTTTTATACAATTCCTTATCAGTTGTTTATGCCTTGGCTGTCAACAACAAGGGTCTAACCCCAGATAAGGATTGTTCACAACAAACAGGGTCAAGGGTTATCAAATTATGCAATAGTGATGTAAACAATAACAACTTTGTGTAGGTTACCCGTCAAGGGTAAATTCTTACATCATATTTATGTAAATAAACACTTGTTGTTGTCAACATGTTTGTTATGTAACATCTTATCCTTTGCCGATAAAAGGGGTTGATTCTGGCAGTTCGGTACCATCTACCCTAGAGGCAACATCTACTCCAACACCTCTACCATATAGTAAGTATCATTTATAAAATATCTATAAACTATAGTTCATAAGTGTACATTAGAAAATTATTAAATATTAATATAGAATTGAAAAGGTGTAGTTTAAGTGTTTTTCATAATTGGCTAAGTAGAAGACAGGTTTTTTTATTATATCTTTAATTGAACTTTCTCTTTATAGACAATGGCTGCCACTTGTTGTCAATGTAAGATAAGGATTTATGGAAAGAGATCAGTACATAAATGTTCAGTATGTAATCATACATATTGCATGCATTTTAAGTGCACCATTTGAAGTTGCTTATGTAAAAGAATCCGATGATGACTATTGTCCTGAAGAGAAATTATGCGAAATACAGCCTGAAGACGAACCCTGTCCCAAAAAGGTGTTATGTGTCGAGACTCCAAAAGTCGAGCCTTGTCCAGATGAGCTGTTATACAAAGCACGAGATAACTATGATCCAGAAGAGAAGTTATACAAAGTCCAAGCTAGATATGAGCCTTTACCAGTAGGTATGTTATGGGACACACAATCTTAAGTTGAAGAGTTAAATAATGCTCATGATGACTATTATCCAGAACAAACATTAAGCCAATCACAATCTGAAGATGAACCTTGTCCAGAATTCCGTTTATGCAACTCACAAATTGAGTGTAATAGAGATAAAAAAAGGGAAGATTCCATAATTTATAGATCAGATATATCGGCTGATTGTGTGTCGAGTGCTGAAGATGACTCACATGATATATCCTTTGAAATTAAGGTTCTTTTTTCCTTTATAAATGTTATGCAATTGAAAAAACTATTTTCAGATTAATAAAGAGAAAAATGAGGCAGAAGACAAACTCTTTCAGCTGGTTAAAAATTGGACAGATTCTAATGACAATGATTTGAAAACATTTCTCAATGATCTAGAAGATTGTCATAGACTATTCAAAATAAAAGACATTATTTAAATATATATATATATATAAAGAATGAAAATGAAGGATATTATTATATTTAATAATATTCTTCTTATCATTATAGAGAGAAAACATATGTTTTTCACCTTAAACCTCAGAAATATGATCACTTCAATGCGGTAGGCCTATTTATGGAAAAGCATAAGCATCAGTTATGTTCAAAAAATTTACCGTGATAATTGAGTACTGTCACTTTTAACCAGATTTTAAGGTCACTTATGTGTGTGTGCATGTGTAATCTAACAGTTGACAAATTTAAAATAAAAATGATGATCTGAAGCAACAAGAATTTCTTTCTTTAATTGTCTTCAAAGACCTGGAATGTCCGTTCAAAAAGTGGCAAATATACATTTATTAACACCAAACACCAAAAATAACAGGCAAGGAAGTTTTTTAATTTTCTTTGTCGAATTATTGTCCTATTTTCATTAATGTTTGGTAGGCAATCAGTAGATGTTGTTGATTGGCTAAGATTTCAGATTAGTGAACATAATCGGATAAGGTTTTAGGATGTATTAGTTGAACCAATGGAAGGAGATGGCATTCATTCGACATTCTTCTTGTAATAGTTGATTCAATTTCAATATTATCAACTTTAACATTATTTGAGTTCACTTGAATATTTTCATTGAAAATGAATGTCTTTTTTCCAATATCTCCAAATAATCCTCCAAGGTTTTCATAAAATATATTAATATGTTCAAAGTAAACATTGAGAAATGTGCCACTGTATGCTTTAAATTCTTTTTTGACAATTGTAACTAATTTGAATTTTTTATAAAATGTTTCAATATGAATTTCTTCAGTTGACTTAACATGAATATTGGCTAAGTGAACTTTGTATTCAACCAAATTGAACCATTTCAATTTTTTGTCATTGATTTGAATGAATGAGTTATCAACAATGATCACTCCACCTTTATATTGAATAATAATCTGATGCATGTAATAATCGTCTTTAAGGACGCCTTGAACACTTGTATTAGTTGAATTATCATTCAAAATATAAATTGATTGACCACTTCTGCCTACAATGTCGTAACAATTCTCTTAGTTCTGGAATCAATGACCTTTTGGGAGAAATGAGGATCACTATTCATTCTGAATAGGTGATAAAACAACAGCATCTATTATATCTTCTTTTATGTAGTTGGCATACGTAGTGTCAGTATTTGGTGCTTGTTCTAAAAGTTTTTTGTAAAAGTATGATTAAAGTTATAAAATTGTTAAATAGAAATTTCATTATTATCTTACCTTGATACAGAACAATTAGAAATTGATCACTTGATGGAAAGTCAGTAAAGTCTATTACCGAATTAGCTATACCGGCAGTAGGGGGAGGGTCAGGCTGATGGCTGTGAACCACAGTCTTGGTGGATGAGATAATATTCACTTTAATATTATCCAAACTACCAGGAAAAGCAATATATTCAACTTTTGCTGATGCCAAACCAATTTCACTAAGAAAAAGTTTGGTTGATTTAGAACAAACGAGTAAGGTAAAATACAATAAATATTTTAAAATCATTATTTTAACGTTTAAAATATTTTATTGAAACTAAACTTCATACTAATCTGCTTGCTCCTTTTATTTCTTAAAATTTATATTAATCATTAAATTCTCACGGTTAGGGTGGAAAAATTTATGAATAGTTTAACAACATAAAACCTTTTTTTCATTCATAGCTATTCATTAATCTCCTGTTGTAAAATGTCCCATTTTGAATGCTTTACATAAAGATTTTATTGTCCTATTTTTCTTAAAGGCTTTCTAAATGCTTAAAAATTTAATGAATTTCTTTTAATAAATAGAAGAGATATTGTCATTGTAGCCATGTAAAGAAAAAATTTTCTATTACTCCTATCTTGTTGGTTTATATATTACTAAAGTTTTTGGGTTAACAGACCACTGACATTTCACAGATTGTAAAACCAGGCATCAGTTTCCAAGAGGGAGAATGTAACAAATACATAACAAGACACAGGAACATAATCACAAATTGGAATATTTTGCTGTTTAAGCCAGATTATTATTATATTAATAAGAAGTTGGCTAATAGCAACAACTAAAGATTGAAATTATTCAAAGACAACACAAATTTGCTATTATCTATCATGACATATCAATACAGCTTTTTGTCATGTTTTCACTATAGATTCGCAAAAAAGTGTTGTGATTTCAATCATATAGTGGCTCTATCTGTCTGAAATATATATAATTATTGATATATTTTCATTTTGATCAATTAACATTTCACTCTTCCACTTTTTAATATTTCTCTATTGTACAACATTTGTTATATTTGATGCTTATGTTCATTTCATGTGTTTTGTTTTCCAATGTAAACATTAGGTATATATTTTTTAACTAAACTATTGATAGGGAATTTAGATATATTTATATATCCCACTTATGTCTTCCAACTGCTTATACTGCCAACAAATGGTTTGCTCAAAGCAAACAATCCAGATGCTAAATCACGAATCAAAGATTGTTGCACTTTATGAAAAGCTGTTGTCAGAGAGAAAGATATGTAGAATTCAAAAATATAAATATAAGGAATTACAAGGTAGAATTTGCTTAATTTGGAAGAATTTGCAAATAGTAATAAAAACAGCTGATGATGTATTAACAGATGTTTTTAACATGTATTACTCGTAATTTTTAAAATACAAGTCTTGTCTATGTTCAATTATATTCTTGTCCTATATTCAAGACAATTCTGTTCACCAATGCAACACTGATATTTGAAAACATATAAATGTTTAATGTAAAAACATTTAAAAATTCAAAATGAAAGGCAGTTTGACTCTATGAATAATTCTCTAAAAAGGAAATAGTACTGATTCTATAGTGATATTTTATATGACATATCTTAAAAATTAATAAATGTAATGTTCACCTTTTGAATGTTTGAAATTCTAAATAATTGAATAGAATATCATTGTTGTTGAAGTGTTGAATGTTCATTTGCTGTTCTAAAATGAAGACTTTGTCAAAAATAATAATTCTCTCTTTTTTAAGTCTAAAATTTCAAAATTTAGGTAAAATATTATATTTTGGAATTAAATTGTAAAATTGATAATCAATCATCTCTTCCTAACAGAAGCGACTATCTGTTCAAGTTCAAAAAATTGTTCAAATTTTGAAAATTGTAAATTAGGTCAGTGTTCATGCAACTCAAAGTATGGAGAAGAAATATGCGAAAATAGTTAAGATTTTTCTTATGTCATTATAATAATTTTCATCTATAATTTTTACTTTTTACTTTGAATAATGATTTAAAAAGGTAAGAATTTAATTTTAAGAAGAGATGAGATTGCTGACGACACTGGCGATAGTAAAAGTATAGATTTACCAATGAATCTATGCTATGAACAATGTATGAATAGTGATGAGTGTGTTGGTATTTCCTACTTATTTACCATTTTTAAATGCCAATTACACCGTGAAATTACATATCCTTTAATTAAAAGTAACAATACTCTATCAATTATACGAAAAGGTAGGAATAAACTTGATAATCCGGATTTAGGGTTAATTCTCTAATATCTCCATCCATAGATAAAAGACTAGGAGTATGCGGTCGAAATTTAAATATACCACCACCATTGGAAGAATGCTATACTTTCATTTGGCTTGAAAATGGTTGTTTTACAAAGGAATTTAAACCTAATAATAAAGAAAGATTAATGACAATTCAACAATTTTATAATTATTCATTAGACATCTTTAAAAATTCAATTGAAAAATTTAAAACTAATTCAAATTTTGAATATTACAGATTAATCTGTTTTAGTAGTGTTGACCTAAAGTCAAATATTGCTTTATATTCTAATGTTGAATTTATTGGAAAAATAGAAAATTCATTATACCATCCAAAACATATTGTTGATGGTATAACATTTCAAAATAACGCCTCTTTTGGCTCTTGCGCCATACTAACTGAATTGAACGGTTTACAAACGCAAATTACAATTAATTTGAAAGGATTTCATATTGTTAATAAAGTGATTTTATGGCCTACAAATGAGAATAGTATGAAATATTAAAAGATTTTTTTCCTTTATTCACATTCTCACTCTTTCTCTCTCTCTCTCTTTGTCTTTTACAGTTTATCAATTATTGAAGATTTACTTACAAATTCCTGATAATTTATGCTCCGACAACATTCTCTTGAACAATAATTCATTCACAAATGTCTTATGTACAAATTTAAAAATGATAAGATATTCAAAACTAATAATTGAACCAAAGTATGGAAATTATATTCATTTATGTCAAGTTGAAGTATTTTCCAGTAAGGGAAAACAATTATGAAATTATTCATTTAAATCTTTATTCTTATTTTACAGGTAATATCGCTCATTGGAAGTTGACTATTTCAAAATACAATGATGGTGGTTTTCTGCAGAAATTAACAAATGGAGATGAGAGTGATTCTGTTAAGTTACGTTTAGGCAAAAATTATTGGGTTGCAATTAATCTTTTAGCGTACTACAATGTTTTTGGCTTAGATTTTAGACTAGTTTCAAGTGCTTTAAACGCATTCAAATCTTTCTATGTTGAATTGACAAACGACAATCCCGCCGTTCAATATAATTCAATGAATTATTCATACTGTGGTGAAAAGGACGACAATATTCTTGGAGAAAGTGACAATTTTTATACAATTTTATGTAAAACTGGTGGAGTCAAAGGTCAATTTGTTGTTTTACGTTCAAATTTATTAAGTATATATGTAGTTGTAAGTGAAATTGAAATATTTGGAAACTATTTGAAAGATTTAGAGAAAAGATCTCAAAACATTCTATTTAATAAACCGTGTTGGGCATCAACTATTTATTCAAGTAGGTCACATGCCTATTTGGCAACACTTGGAGTTCGTGGCGGATTATTCCATACAAAGAGGGAGAATAATCCTTGGATTTGGATAGATATGCTTGGAATGTATAAACTATTTCAAATCGCTATTCTAAATAGAAATAATAGGCGTAAGTTAGAATAGAAAAAAAAACTCTTCTTCCCCACTAATCCATTCATTAACCCTTTATTAGTCGCTTCCCGAACAAATTCACTAGTTGGAGTAGTGTCGAATTATCAAAAGTTTAATATCAAAGAATCGCATTTATTTTCGAAAATCTGTTTTATCAATAAGAAAAAGTTCTTGAACGGAGAATACGCAATTTGGAATTGTCAACAGCCATTTCCTATTGGTCGTTATGTAATACTATACTTGACTAAAAAGCAATATTTGCAATTTGTACTTGTTGAGGCGTATGGAGAAGAGATAATTAATACCAATTTCACTCTTATACCATTAATCAACAGCCATAGGACTGATAGTAGTAGTTTACAAGTCTACAATGATATAATTATATCCGATCAATTTCCAATAAAGATTATTGATGGATTATCAATAAATTCTAGATATGGGAAGCATTATCCTTCTTGTAGTGGAACATTGACAAATAACAATCAGGAAGGAAGGATCATAGCCTATATGGATAATTATTATAGGGTTGAAGAGATTGTTGTCCTACTCCCATTCAACTTTGCTCCAGGTAAAAATATTGTTATATTAATGATTTTGGAATGTAAATCTCTCTTCTCTCTCCTATCAGAAACATTTAAAGATGTTCAAGTGGCTGTTGAAACTTTCAACATTGAATTGCAAAGGCAAATTTGTACATTGAAAAATGAAATTACAATGGAGCATTTATTGTACAACTGCCATTTTATCGGTGATAGAATATCATTCAATAAAATTGGTGGTAATAATAGAATGGAAATTTGTGAAATATATGTTTTTGGTAGAAAACAACCATACAATAGCAGTAGTTTGTAAATTTCTTTTCCTTTTTGAAATTACTAGACACCTTTTAAATCTTCTAGGTTTAGGCCTATTTACAAAAGCATTAAATGGATTTTCTCCACTTTCCAATAATTCTACTATCCAATTAAATTCAATTTGTAGTTATTCGATTAATCGTGAAATTTCTTTACAATTAAATAATTATTATAAAATTATTGCTGTTGGATTTTTATTAACTAAAACTGCAAATTTTACTTTTGGGTTAGCGTTTTTTGGTGTTAATTATAAAACGGAAATACTTTGTACAAGTATCAAACGTATTCTACACATCGTTAATCCAACATTTTTTACATTCTTTTGTGAAAGTAAGATCATTGCAAATATTTG